AACATTAATAGGCCAGTTAGTATAACTAGGACTGAGATAGTGCCTAGAGTATACAAAAGAAAAATAAGTTATTCATGATGGTGTTTTTCGTGTACAAATAAGTCACTAGAACATGGACGTAAACGATATTTGATGGGTCTGTTGGTCCACTGCTTAGTGATTATAATAATAATAATATTAAAAAAAAGAAAATTAAGAAAAAAAAAAAAGAAAATTTATGCATGGGCAAATAGGATAAGACGGTATAAAAAACGAATAGATCGGTATAATCAGAATCGGATGTTCCAAAGAAATGAGAAGTGGGTGTATCGGAAATATGAGGAACCGGATCCATGTGTGGATGATAGGCATTTGCCAGATGAAAATGTCACAAATACATTTTGGCGTAACATCTGGTCGGTGCCTGTCACTCATATAGAAGGTGATTGGTTGCAGGATGTCAGACGCTCATGTGAGTTTATAACACCTATGGAACCTGTTATAATTGATAAAGATGATGTAAGTTGTGCAGTTCGTTCATTAACGAATTGGAAATCACCTGGTCCAGACGGACTGCACAACTTTTGGCTTAAGTGGTTCAGAAGCTCACATGCGCGTTTGGCATCTCAATTCCAGACAGCTTTGGATTCGGGTTCATTACCCCAATTTTTAACCACTGGCATAACCCACTTACTCTATAAGTCTGGTGGTGTCATGGATCCCAAAAAATTTAGACCTATTACATGTTTACCTACAATGTATAAACTTCTAACATCTATTCTGAGACTCAAAATTACTTTACATATTAATAATAATTCGATTATGTCAGTTTCTCCGAATGGATGTAGAAGTGGGACCCGTGGCACTAAACACCTCCTTATCATAGACATGACCATTAGCCAACAGGTACGTCGTAATCGTAAGAGTTTGGCGACGTGTTGGATAGATTATAAGATGGCTTATGACTCGGTTCCACACACATGGCTTTTGAAGGTGCTGGAGTTGTATAAAATTGATACAACTCTGTACACTTTCTTGAAGTCATGTATGGGGCAATGGAAAACAGCACTTCGCTATCCAGGATGTCGGCAGACGGCGATACACGATGTACTAATAAAGATCGAGCGGGGTATATTTCAGGGTGATAGTCCGAGTCCCTTGTGGTTTTGTCTGGCTTTGAACCCTCTTAGCACTTTATTAGAGGGTTCAGGGTTAGGCTATAGGTTGCAGAAAGATGATCAAGTTATATCTCACCTTCTTTATATGGATGATTTGAAACTGTTAGCCTCCAACAAATTACAATTGACAAAGTTACTAAAGGTGTCGGAAAACTTTAGTAATTCTATCAAAATGGAATTTGGTGTAGACAAGTGTGCAGTCATGTATGTAAAGAAGGGTGTGATAGTTGAATCTGAAGGAATAGAGCTTTCAGATTCAACAAAACTCAGATCTCTGTCTGCCACTGAAACTTACAAGTATCTGGGTATGTCACAGTCGTTGGGAATTCCAGAATCTAACATGCAACAAACATTGCAGGAACGCTTTTATGGCCGCTTGAAAAAGTACTTAAAAGTCTTTTATCAGGGGGCAAGAAGGTGCGAGCCTGCAATGGTTGGGTCATGCCGGTTCTGATGTATTCCTTTGGTATACTTAGATAGACTCAGACCGAATTAGATGCCCTTGACAGGAAAGTCCGTACACTGTTGACTGCATCCCGAATGCATCACCCACGTTCATCAGTTATGAGATTGTATATCCCGCGAAAGCTTGGGGGTCGCGGACTATTAAATATCAAGACCCTACATAATCGCGAGATATGCAATCTCAGAGAATATTTTCTACATACCGACGTGGGAGTGCATCGCAATGTAGTTGCAGTGGATACCGTCTTCACCCCGCTCGCTCTGGCTAAAGAGAATTGGCGCAGACCTGTAGTACTTAGTGTTAATGATCGCAGGGAAGTATGGAAGGGCAAAGAGCTCCATGGTCGGTTTTATCGGGCCCTAAACGGGTCCGATATAGATTTAAAAGCATCTACGACTTGGCTATGGTATGGTGATCTCTACGGAGAAACTGAAGGTTTTGTTTGTGCGATTATGAACGAAGTTATCATGACGAATAACTATCGGAAATATATCCAGAAAGATGGTACGGTTGACATCTGTCGGGCATGCCACCGTCCTGGCGAATCAATCAGGCATATTATTTCTGGTTGTTCTCGTCTTGCTCACGGAGAATATTTGCACAGGCACAACCAAGTAGCCAGGATCGTACACCAACAGCTTGCCCTTAAATACCATCTTGTGAATCTAGAGGTGCCATACTACAGGTATGTGCCCGACCCAGTTCTCGAGCATGGTCGGGCCACGTTGTATTGGTATATATATAAATAAGCCAGCCAGCCAATAAGCCTGATATTGTGCTGATAGATCGATTAGCGCGCCGCGCAATGATTGTTGATATCGCCGTTCCTCATGAAGAGAATCTCGTGAAAGTTGAAAAAGAAAAACAAATTAAATATTAAGATTTATCTTACGAGATTGTCGATATGTGGAATGTTGATTCAGTGATCATTGTTCCGATAGTCGTATCTGCTCATGGATTGATAGCCAAGAGCCTCGACCAACACCTTAAGATGCCTACGTGAGCCACGTTGGACGGCTGGATCAAGGGTCTGATGCAGAAGGCAGTCCTCCTTGACACGGCTCGTATAGTGAGGAGGTTCCTATCTTTGGAGTCCTAACCGCCGGTGTCTTGGTCCCTGTACCCGATGTCGGTGGTCTACTATTTTTTATATTTTTAAATGTATTTTTTTATAATTTTTTATAAAGTGTATGTTTAAAAATGTAAATAATATGTATATAAAGTAAATAAAGAGAATAATAATTATTATTATTATAATTGTGTGATGAACACGATGATTTTTCTATGTCTTAGTGTAATTTATGTATAATATATGACTAGTTCTACAAACTAAGGAATTTTCGGCGGCTCAGCTTAAATGTTATGAAAATTTTGTTACAAAATAATTTATTTGTATAACATACCTATGTCTAGTTGGTCAATCTTCCTCAGCCGTTATTGCCAGCGCCACTAACTCCAAGATTAAAAATAGCCAGAGAATGATCACAGACACAGCGTTTTAGGAGAAACCAGGAGTTTAAACAAAAAAATATTATAATTGCAAAGCTGAGACAAAGTTTGAGCAAATATAAAAAAGATGTCAGAGCCTGAAAAAACAAAACAAAAAGAAACTGGTACAGCTAACACCTAATACAGCAATGACCAAACTAGCTGAAGATCCAAAGACTCGGGCTGACGTGTTAAAAAAAGCATTATTCGGTGATGTATTAGAGAAGCAAATAGCTAATAATATATCTAATCTAACGACCCGTTAGATTAGATATATTATTAGCCGATTATCAATGAAAGAAAAGTTTAGAAATTCAAGAACCAGGTTATTACATATAAAAAGATATGGCATCAAAAAAGCAAAAGACGGCTGAACTTACAATAAAAAGGAGCTTAAAAAAGATAGTTCAAAGTTTTCTAGAAGACGATAAGCATAGTAGCCAAGAAGGAATTTGTAAGAAATAAAGAAACTAAACAAAAAGTATAAAGACGTTACAGGTTAGATACACTGAGAAATCTCCACAAAGAATACTTAAAATCCGGAAATGTTCCGATGAGCTACTCCTTGTTTGCATGGCTTACCCCCGCTTGGATAGCCGCCCCAAAAATAACAGATAGAGACACAAGCTTGTGTAATGTTCACGCCAATTTTCAACTAGTTGTGACTGCTCTTTATAATGCAAAAATACTAAACGTCCCAAGCTATCAAAATATATTAAACGCAGTATGCTGTGACAGGTTTAGTGAAAAATGTTTGGAGAGAAAGTGTGAAGCTTGTAATGAGAAATCTCTTCCGATCTGCGATGATTATGACGCGGCGATTCCGATAAATTACAATCACTGGTTGGCATCAAAGGAGACCATAATAATCTCTAAAACCTCTAAAACCAAGAAAGAAAGACAAGTTGTGAAACAAAAAAGAGAAAGTGTCGTCACTACAGCTCATGAACTCGTGTTTAAATTGAAGGATAATTTAACTAAAATTTTTCAGCACGAAAGAAATATTATTCACCAGTACCAAGCAATATCGGAAAAGAAGAAATGCCTGACAGATAAAGAAGCCATAATACCCATGGATTTTTCTGAAAAATTCAGTGTAAAATATAACGAAGAAATTCAATCTTTTCACTTCGGAGGATCTCGTACACAGCTCTCACTTCATACTGTAGTTGTATATTTTAATGGATGTAAAAGATCATTTTGCACAATGTCATCAGATTTAAGTCACAATGTTCATGCAATTTGGGCACACTTAAAACCGGTACTCGAAGAATTCTTTTCATTTCTTGAGTGACGGTCCAGTAACTCAGTACAACAATAAAATTATCTGTGCCCTAAACTTATAAACTGGACTTGGAATTATCACGAAGCAGGCCATGGGAAAGGAGCACCAGATGCCGTAGGCGCGGTATGCAAATGATGTTGTAGCATGTGGAGGTGATGTTACTAACCTGACTGAGTTCTGCGATGTCATTCAAAGTCGTTGCCCTGGTGTTACACTTTTTACAATTACTAAAAGTAAAATTGAGGAAATGGCAAGGTTAATTTCAAATGATCGACAAAATTTTATTGCTTTTAATGGCACACTCAAAGTCCACCAAGTACAAGGTTGTGCCTTTATGCCACGAAAGCTACAAATGAAAACTCTCAGCTGTTTTTGTGCCGAGGGTATTATGTGTGAACATTACCGGGTGGGGCTACTAGAATATCCTGCAGAATCAAGAAAAAATGACAACATTTTCGTAAGCGATGATGATTCAGAGCAGGCTTAAAGTAAAAGTACAAGATTTATTGACACAACCACACAGGGATTAAAGGATCAATTTGATGACATCAGCATTACAAGCGATCTTATATTGAATATAGAAAATCCAGAAGTTTTAGATATTATGCTTGATTTGCAAATCGACCCAAATAATATCTTGCTAGACCAGCCTGAAGAGGCTGAAGAGCTAATTACTGAGCTATTAACACAGAAAAAAGATCAAAGGAAAGCTAAGATTCAAAAAAGAAAAGTTGAAGATACTGTTAACGTGCAAATAAAAAAGGAAAAAGAAATCATATCAAGAAAAGAAAAGGTTAACAAGGAAGTAGAATCTACAACACAGAAACCAGGTCAAAAATGTAAATTAAATCCAAAGAAACATACAGGCAAAGAAAATAAATAATAAATACCAAAGATGAATAACTAAGAATCCAGTGATTGTAAGTGGTGTTATCTATAGCGAAAGACAAAAGAAGAAAAAAAAATTGAAGTTAAAATTATTACTTAAAATAATATTATATAATGATTAAAGTTTCTGATCAAGACTGGTTTAGGTACAGAATTGGTATAATTTTTATTTTATTTTATTTGATTAGGGAAACAAACAGATACAAATTAAACCAAAATAAATATACAGATAATCTAAACACAATCCAAAAACGTTTCCACATTAGCGCTACAACCATTTTAAACTTAAAAACTAAAATTTACAAATGCACAGTAAGAACACATATTTATGCACATCTCAACAAGAAAAAAGAACAATTGAAAAGCAGCAAAAACATTTTAAAAACATTTTAGGAAAGACACAATATATAGTAATTTTACAGATAGTACCTTTAGTTATTTTAGTTATTACTAGGAGGAACAAGACAGTCATGGACAGATTTCTTAAATTTGGGTAAAGAAATATGGAACATATCTACGGAATCATCATTATGCAAATTAACGAGACTATTAAATGAGCGGCAAGATATCAATATAAAGACATTTCGCCTTTAATTCGTTTTAGCAAGCGGCACAGAAAATAATTGTTTTTTACGTGCATTGATACAACTAAAACCAACTTTGCTTAAGAGATTAAGATGAGTCGACTTGATTCCTAATAATTTTAAACAAGAATATCAGGTCGCGTTCGTTTCGTCGCGTCCCAAATCAGGTATTTTATCGTAGTTTTAACATTTTACTTTCCATGCAATATGTTTCTTCAATTTATTTTGGATTCTTTCTAATTGATCTATGTATATTTTATATTGTGGATTCCACACTATCGATCCGTACTCGAGTATCGGTCTAATAATAGTCTTGTACAGTAGAAACACTGGATGAACCCTTGAAATCCTTAATGTAAAACCCCACATTCTTAAAGCCTTATTTACTATGGATTTTATATGACTATCAAACATTAGTTGGTCTCGCACCTCAGACACTATCTATCATCACACTATCTATCAGTTGATTATTAATTTTGTATTCGTATTCAATTTTTTTTTTCTTTCTCGTGAAAGTAATAACATTACATTTTTTGTTATTAAGGTAAAGCATATTATTCCTACAATAATTACACAAATTATTAATATCATTTTGGAGCTCTTGATAAACTATAAATAGTTCTAATTTTCGTTATTGTGCAAGCAACATGACTATTAGTGGTTCGGAGCATATTTTTAATTTGTGAAATACCTAAAATCCGTGTTAAGGTTGTCTGGAAGAGATCGGATGGAAGATTTCTATTAAAGTGTATACAATAAAGATATAAGTAAATAAAATAAATAAATAAAAAACGTTGATTACGGTATATTTTCATTTTTTTCCTCTGTTTCCTGGTAACACTCTCAGGTTCCTGTTACTTAGTTTTCTTAAAGTGGCCATTAATCCAAAACTTTTAAATATTTTGACTGTTCAACTTAACATACGTTAAAAGACGTTGTTTTCTTGATAATAGACTAAACTTCGCACTAAAAAATTAAATGTAAAAAAAAAGTTCATCAGTTCATCGAAATCAGACTCAGTTTCATCCTTAGTTTGTAGAACAACCCATATATGTATAGATAATAGTGAAAGGAACATATTAAGCAAAAAGTTTTCTTTTTAACCGTCTCTTTGACTAGGTATATGACAAAATAAAATAAAGAATTAGTACCTTAATAAAACGCCTTGATACAAATATTCTTTTGAGTACAAATGCATCTAAAGTTTAACAACCGTTCGACCAACGGTAATTTCAAACACTTTACGGAAAAGAACAGGAAAAGGACATTTTCAGTTGAAACAATGCTTTTATACTACGGCAGTTGTCTTTTATTTTCTGATCTTGAAGTACCACTTTAAACTTATAGATCCATTTGGCATGACCGGGATAGTTCAAAGAAATACTTTAGCAAACACTATTAAAAGAGAGATTGCACTTTAACCGCGCCGTGAAATGAATACAAAATTTAATTTATTTCATTTCTTTGCATGAAGAACGAATACGTTACGTAATGTAACTTGCCGTTTAGTTATTGTAATTTGTCTTAGCAATGGTAACCTATGATGATACTGCCTCGGTGGTGCAGTGGTAGCGTATGCGACTGCTAAACAGACGTCTCGGGTTCAATTCCTGGATCGGACCAAGTGTATGTATGATTTGCAAATATTTGTTTCGGAGTTTTCTGTGATTAATATGTATGTATTTACAATAAATAAGTATTTAAGTATTGTATCCGTCAATCTAGCTTTCATAGCACAATCTCTGCTTAGTTTGAACGTAGATGGCGTTGTGTGTCAGATGTCCGAAAATATAAAAAAAAATTGAAGATTTATCATAATTATGTATACAGTAAGCCGTTTTTTAAAACGGCACATCACACCGCCGTCTGATCCCAAACTAGGCAGAGCTTGTAATATATAAATATAACGAGAATGCTGATAATTTCTAAATACATATACAGTCTGTTTCATATATTAACGCAAAGCTTTTAACATCATATTCTGCACTTTATTTCTAGACGCTTTGCAAAATATGAACAAAAAATATTCAGTGGTTTAGAAACAGGATTTTTTTTTTGTTTTCGTAAATTGCAACATCATGTGTACATGCAGTCATAATACATTGACCTCAGGCGGCGATCAGCTGTAGGTATACGCGGCGCGGTAATCACACGTTGCCGCTTTTACTACACCCGAATCGAACGAAATATGTTGATTATTACGTCATCACAATGCAACACGCGTTTTTAATTAGTTCATCCAGTAAGGACAGTCGGTCGGCCCTTGGCCACCGGCGAGCTTATGCTATTCCGTATCCTTGTAGATGCGCTCACGACAAATAATCGTAATAATAATATTGTTGTTGTTTATGAGATACATATTTGTTTAGAGAAGTTTTCTTGTGGTAATAATTGTTTAGTCTTATTGCTTTCGTCATAATACACGGCAATGGTGTGAACAATTAATGTTATCGTGTGCGCAAGACTTCGTAATGTAAGGAGTCCTGCTAATTTTATTTTGAAAAGTCACTATTAGGTTCTGTGTGTAGTGTAGTGTGAAACTGAGTGCATTATCAGTCTTTTAATTTTATTGGGTTATCGATATCAACATCCATAATGCCGTGAGTGACCTTCACAGCCGCGGAATATCCTGCTATGATGTTAATTTATGGAAAACTCTATCAAAACGCATCTTTTGCTTTACGGACACGTATGGAGTCAATCGTGTATGTCCTACAGACTGCCGAATTTTTGTAAGGGCGGTACAAAGATTACGAGACAACCAAGGTACCTACTTTTTCAAGAAGTGACGCGTACTGCTGGGTCGGAAGCTATTCGAGCATTCCCGACATAAACACGTGAATAAAATCGTATTCTTTATAAATAGATTTTTAAAAGCAAGTGAAGTGATTGGTAGGTAGGTAATAAGAATGTAAAGTTCGCCGACTCGTCGCGGCGGCGGCACCGGCGGCGGCGTCGTTTTGATGTCGCCGACATTGCGACAATTCACCGACTCATGTTATCAATGGTTCTAATTCGGAAATTATTTTATTGTATTTAGTTTGTTCTAAATTTGCATTTCTGTATTTTCGTACTAATTTTTATTTTTTTATTTTAACCGACGTATATTGAACCGTGTTATCTGTTATTTCATTTTTTGTCATATCTATTTATACACCTTGTATATTACAATTTTCTGTTTAGTAAAAAATATAACTTACCATGGTGGAAAACTGACAATAACATAAAATGGTACATAAATATGTGAAATTGTATTTTACATATTTCGGTTTAGTAAACATTTTCTTTTCGCAAGTGACAATTTACATATTTGTAACGAAAACTGTTTTATTGCACGCATAACTGTAATTACAAATTTACATATTTTGTAAATGTTAAAACAATTTCGCCAGAACTAGTGTCAGTGCAGTAAAGATAATTCAACAAATAGAAAATATAATACTTTGTAAGCAAAATGCTGAAACCAAGTTCCAAACATTTTGAAATTCTCAGATTTTGAAATATATCCTCAATTTAAGAATCTTCAATAAAACCTTGCATTTTATGTAATTTGTAACTTACAATTACAAATTTGTAAATACCATATTGTTATCGTAATCTACAGACGTTTCTTGTACTTGTAAAATTCTTACATAATAAAATTGTACAGTTTATAAAACAGCACTTGTCATTTAAATTCACAAATATGTCAATTATTTATTAAATTTTCGGATGTTAAAATTTAGATATTGTTTTAATTGCGAACTCCTTTTGCTGTGTAACTATTGGCGACTAGAGAAACCCAAGCTCTTCGAAGAGTAATATTGGTGATCTACGAACAATACGATTAAACGATCCCAATAGGGACCCAAGGCGACGCAATCTACATGGCTACATTTGTAGGTAGTTCATTTTAGAATAGAATTCAAAACATAAACTCTTGGAACACAAACTCACTCCAAGAGTTAATTTTTTTTTTTATAATATAGGGGCACAAACGAGCAAACACGTCACCTGATGATAAGTGGCTATTGCCGCCCAAGGACGCCTGCAACTCATTCGTCACAAGTTTGTTGCAGCTCTTTAAGTCTCACCCAGAATCGAGGGGGGGGGGTTTGGTTCCGGTACTCTCTCTCCCTCAAATAAACTTGCCCTCAAAAAAAATTGCTTAACACTGGTTTCTCTGTGAGGCCCTGGTGTCACTCCCTGTCAAATAAGCACAACAGTGCTGATATAATTGTAGGTCGACCACAGCCTAACTCCCCAGAGTTGGTTTTCAGCGGCGAATCTGTTGTGCTTGTTTGCACCTGCGAGACCTCTGCGTCGCCGGGCTCCGGCTGAGCGACAATCCACCAGCGTCAAGTGTGAGAGCAAACGCCGCGCACAGCTCTTGCGGCTGCGACCACCCCCGCGTCCCGCGGCCACCTGTGCA